TCGAGAAATAGTTGTTTGATTTAATTGGACTTTCATTAATTCCACTTACCAATACTGAAACGTTTAAAATGTTTTTTTTTTTTTTTTTTTTTTTCCTCCCTGCGACCTTGTGCGACGCGTATTGTGACGGATGTACACGACTGTCGAAGTGTCGACGACGGTTATTCATTTCGTCGTAAATTAATCCTGACAATGACGTTTGTTTGATCGTCTTGAAAAGAAATATACGTACAACACAAAATTCTTATCAGTCGTATTTTTGCCGATTCGGGTAAAATTATGATTATTACTCTGTACTAACATTTCTTTGTTCCTTGAACGCGTCGTGCGCTCAGTCACTCGTGTACTGCATTGCGAGCAAATGTACTAAATTTACTGTATCACTGTTCGAAAAATACTGAACACAAGTCATGGATTTCAAATACCTGTTAGTGTGTTGTGTGTTATTGATTCCGGCCAGCACTAGTGTGTCCTTCGACGAAGTTGATGATGTCTTCGAGTTGACTTCCAAAGTGTTTGATTTTGTCAGCAAGTCATGGGAGGTTGCTGACAGTATTGAAGATCGTTTAGGCAATGAAAATACTCCACTCGTGTGGTACACAAAAAAAAAAGAACGTAAGATTCTATCCTTCTTTGGACATATCACTCATCTCGTGCAAATGACCCAAAAGGAAACAAATGACATAAGGACTATGATGTTGGGTAGTCTTAAAAAGCTGCAATCCATGCCTGATGCTGTTTTGAATGGATTACAAATCAATGAACTTTTAGAGTCTGTTAGATCAATTGAAAATGATTTTAATACTATGGAAGGTATGTATTATATATTTATCTATATTATTGTATGAGATAACAGTTCAGTTCATAATATTTCTACCTACCTAGATACAAATTTAAATTATGTTTGCATAATATAAAAGCACAAAAGTAATTTGAGATATTTTATAATCCTTGACAGTAATTATATTGATTGTCATTTTTTAAACTATAATTAGTAAAGGGTAAAAATACAAAAATTACCTATTACAATACATATTTTAATTGCAAATTTTTCAGCCATCAGATGATTTTTTTGAAAATGTCAATGTCTTATTACAGATATTTTAATGAAAGTTTCTGAGTTATATTGCTTTATTTAATAAGGATAATAGTCTATTAAAATAATAGTATCTACTTTTGTTTTCAAAATTATTAGTTGCAATATTAATCCTTAAGCATTAATTATTTGTAATATACCTAAATAAATATTTTATATTCTACACTTAAGAATTACCACAGTCATTTCTATTTAAAAATTATTTATTGGACATTTACTATCCATAGTATTTAAAGTAGAATAACTAAAAACTTTTTGTTCAAATTTCAATTGTCATATCATGTCAATTTTTTTTTTAAAAAATCATCTCATTTACAATTTACATGAAGGTTCTTATTAGAAAAACCAATGTTGGTATCGCCTCATTAGACTCTTAAAATGCTGTGAAAAATCCGAGAAAAAATCTAAAAATCAATATTTGAATATGATATTTAATTTAAACACAAAAATAGGAAGAGCAAGGTTAAAAAATCAATTGGTGTATAGATTAGGTTGTATATGAAATTTAAAGAAAAATTAATTTGACTCGTTTAGAAATATGATCAGGTTTAGTCCTCTTCGGTTTACTGTGTTTTTATATTATGTTTATTTAGAGTATAAATATGAAGAAAAAGATAACAACGAAAAAAAAGTAAAMCCTACATATACATCTTATACATTAGAGAAATTTGCTGATGCAATGTTGTCATACTCAGCGGGATCTCCTCATAAGCAAATGGCAAAAATTCACTCTTTCATTGTTCCGGAATGGGAAGGATTTAAATTTCATACACACGGTGGTATTTTCAATATTTTGCAACATACTTTGGTAAGTAATGAACAATTTTGTTACTTAATTAATTTTTAATAGGACTCATTTTAATTGTACCTATCCTATGTACTTGTTCTTACAAGTGTGACATATCACACACAACAGAGACAACATGAATTATTTTCATRTATATAAGTTTAGGCCGTATGATAAATAAATATAGTTAAAGGTTTGTAGTCTGTTGTATATTATTGATATAAATATACATTGCCAAAGAAAATATGAAAATTATTATCTAGTTGAATAGGTATTTAGTTAGTAAGTACCTAATATTGTTATTTTTATTTTAACTAAAAAACGTACAATCTGTAAGGTAATGATTTACAATATATACAAGTGATTTAAGAATTATATAGAAAATATAAAATAACAAACAATAAGTTATATTAAATTACAATTATAACTATAATATTGTTATTCAATATTTAAATTGACTAAGAAATATGATTACCCAGGTATTATATAACACTTTGTAATACCTATGTTAATAAGTTGATAGTTTATCAGTGAAACAATAATTTTGTATTCAATTTTACTGTTTTATAATATAAAATTGTACATTCCGTTTACACCTGAGTGTATATCGTAATAGTTTTTTTAATTATTTTAATTTGTAGATTATAATTTATAACATAGGTTAGATCTTAGATACATAACAGCAAAATTTGCCCATCACTGATATCTACACGTATGGTATTCATTTTGAGTTTAGCGATTATAAAAACAAAATAAAAAACCACATCTGATTGACTAAAATACCAAAAGTTTTTAAAGTAAAATCCTAAAATATTTTTTATTATTATAAATAATTTTAATAAAAATTATAAATTTATTAGCGTAAATTATATTGGACAAAATTGTGAGCGTGTTTATTGTGTATCGACTAGTTTTGACTACTGTCTACTTGAGGTATTATTGACTTATATTAAAATTCTTCGGTCACGAGTCACGATGTCTGCAGACTGCTATTGTCATATCACTAAGCTGAAGGCTCTACATAACTCGAATTTTTCCTCAAAGACTCGGAGTAAATTAGAGCCAGCAAGTGATATGAAAAAGTAGACAGGTCTTTAACTTCATTGGGAAGCAAGTAGCGAGTGTTCTGGCTGATTGCTTGAGGTACTGACTACTGAGATGTAGTGAGGTTTGAGATTTTTCAGTAGCAAGGAAGTAAAAGTGATAGCGAGTAGCGAGTAAATTTGACCCAAGTGATCTACGCTTAATACGATTTTAGACATTAGTAATGATTAATATAAGTAATAACAATACCTTAACATAATTATTTTGCAATTAAAAATTATATCTACTTGTATAGACAAATTGACATCCCATGTAATTATAACATAACATACATTTGTATGCACGATATATGTTACTGTAATAATAATTAATATTACTCTATAAAGACAGAACTCATTCAATGCTGTCTCACTATCGGCATAATAATTAATCTCTACATACGGTATTTCGGTGTTATATAATCTGTATAATATGTATATTGTACAGGAAATTATTATTTAATAATTATTATAATTATTATTCTAAATCTATCTATTTATTTTGGTTTGTAGATATAAATGGTGCTATTGTATTAAGTTTAGGTACTTTATTAAGATAACTACTTAATGGTTATAAAATTATAATATTATTACAATAATTTATAATTAGGACTTTATAATTAATTATTATGCATTTAAGCATAGGTACTTTGTTTAGGTATTTTAAAAATCTAGATGCCCGCTTAAAAATATGTTGTGTGTAGTTGATATTTTTTTATTAATACATCATGTTACAAACAATGAACAAAAATATAGTATTCTTATGAATTGCCATTATTTTGTATTACACGTGTAGATAAAAATGTTCTTACACAGCCAAACAACTAATACGGAAATACCTCTATAACCATGTTCCATAGCAATAATATACATTTATTATTTATATATTTTATTATTATTATTTAGTGTCGACATGACATGTTGACGTGTGTCTAAGTCTAATAGAATTTATTATCACCCGGATGTGTTGTCTCCATCTTATAAATGTATAACATAACAATTCAAAATCATTGTCAAATACTTAAATATGACAACAAATGTAAAATACATAAAAACAATTCCATAACATTTTATTTTGCGACTTTAACTACTCGGCTATTCCTTAATATTTAGATATTAAACACCTCTAAGACATAGCCTCTAGTTAACTATGATTGGACGTAATTTTCTTACCTATATTATTGACGTTACAATAAAAGGCTAGGAACTTCATGCCTTAATAAACCTTCAAATAATGTTTGTATAGCTGTAAATATGTCCAAAACTTTTATCTATAGAGTTTAGGACATACATACTTTATAGAGTCTAAACTCTAAAGAATTACTATATAATATCATTGATTATAAATAATTTATATATAACTATATTATATAGTAATTTATAATCAATGATAATATATATACTTTTAAAAACAAAGCACCATATAAAACCTTTTAATTTAAATATTTAGATAATATTTGCAAAATTATATACTGTAATTTATTATAAAAATGTGAGTGTTAACAAATAATTATTTTTATTTTCCGGTTTGTCTTCTTCTTTTATCAAGTTTAAGTCTAAAACGAATAATTTCAGACCATAAATTATAAATTAGTTATTTTGGTATCATTATCGCCGATAATTTATCGGGAATCATGCTTGTGTACAAATATAAGTAACAATGTGAGTGAGCAGCGAGGATAACACAAATACTAATTTCAAAATACTGATTTTACAACCATCTTACTATACGATATATAATATTATATATTTAACTAGGGGTTGTATTTTTTAGCCTGTCCATAGCTGAAACCTAAATCTGAAAAATTTAAAAATATACCTATGTTTAAAATATCTCATAAATCATAATAAATAAATATGTATTGATATTCTTTGATTATGAATACAGGGTGTCCCACAGAGATCTGACAAATGAAATAACTTTTGTTCTAATTAATATTTTTAAAAAATTTCTTTTAAATATAATTCTTACATGAACACTTGCGCTACATTTTTAGAATACATTTTTTATTTATTTTTTTTTAATACTGAAAATAAAAAACTTAAAAATTGATAAAATTTTTTTCGAAATGTTCAATA